AACTTTTATTTTAAGACCTGGTCACCAGGGCTGAACAGAGCAACCATTTGACCATTACTGTAAGAAAAATGCAGCCTTTGGCTTCCTAGCAGCCTGCTATTGGTATCTTTCAGCATCCTTAGGAGGTGTTAATAAATAACATTCTGATAATTTTAAATTAAAACCCAGCAATGTGACGAAATGAAAGTACGATACAAGAAAAAGATATTTCAAAGTGTAAATCTATAAGCTTATAATTATAGAAATTGGATTGTACTAAAATGCTACATGAGAAATGAAATTTAATCAGTTGAAGTGTACAACTTTGAATATGTATCACAGCATTCTTTTTAATGGAACCATGAATTTTCTTTTGCCTCCAACTTACACAATACCGTTCCTGTTATACAGCATGTTTTGATTTTGGAGTTTATTTGCTTGAAATATGTGTCGCTTTGTATAGGAAATGTAATACCTGTAAATTCAGGTTAGTGAGAATATAGGTACTATTGCTTGTGGAGGAAAAAAAAAAGAAATATTTACAGGTTATTATATTTTATTATTAGTATATACAAATACAAGTGTATCTGCTTACCAGCTACCTGTCTGCACATAGCTTTGAATGCAATAGATACATGTTAACTGTTGTTCAACAAAGGGTATAATTTTCTGTTTATAAATCAAAATGTTTGGGTAACTTAATCTCTTCTTTTCTTCCAGTTGCCATTTACTAATTTTTCTTTACAAACTTTCCATTGTCCTTCATCCCTAATTATTACATTCCAGGGAGAGCTCCCAACTTCATTTGGTTTCTGTACTGGACATCTTTGAGCATGCTCCATTTCACCATGATTTGTTTCTGCAGGATCTTCTGTGTGTCTCAGTACATCCCTTAGTCCCATTCTTCTGTAAATGTCTAGAAACTGCTTTTCCTTTGGATTGTTTATCGTTATGGTGTCAAAATACCACAAATGGGGTGGCCACAGGCAAAGCTCAACACTTCAGCTTCTCTGTCTTAATTTTTTCTTAGATTGCTTCACTCTTCCACTTTCTCATGCTTACTTGCCCCAAGAACATGTTTGCATTTTGACCCTTTCTCCCTCACCTCTCTTCTGAGTAGAAGGGCAGAGTAGAGAAGGTGGCTCCTTTAGGAAAGGAGCTTACTGAACCAGTGGACACTAATCATCAGTCAGGGGTGCTGCCTGCACTCTTGTTAATTGCAACTCTTTTGAGAACCTTTCCCACTCACTCATTGTCTCAACTTTCATGAGCAATATTTCGTAATTGTTTTGTCAGATGAGTGATTTTTCACCAAATCTAATGCAATCACTCCAGAAAGATTCAGATTAAGGAAAAGACTTGACAGAGAAGCTTATAGAGGTATTGGGCTGCTTCTTTGCACTGGAGAGAGCTGCCAGTGTGCCGTACCCATCCTGTAGTTGTTATTGCCTGTCCCAGGCATCCTCCCTCATAGTAATCATGCACCAAGATGACAAAAAGACTAACCTACATTAAAAAGTACATAAAAAAGTGAAGAATCGCAATGCTTCTTGCTTTTAATTTGAGGCCCAGACAGTAACTCGGCATAGCTGGGAGGACTTGCATGTTTTGCCACATGGGTGGTACAACAAAGTGAGTCATGACAACATGCTTCTCAAACTGGCGAGCTTCCCAGCCCCATCCCGGGTGTTCTCCTGATGCCTCTCTGTTCCTACTGACCCTGCTAAGCCCCATGATTTCAACACTGCAGAGCCTGTGCTGTGGCAGGTCATGGACCCCCAGGCTGCAAATCACCTTCCTCAGGAAGCAGTGCTATCTGGCTCTGCAGTCTCATGTATCACTGATAGCTATGATTTTGCATCATGATCTCCACTTGTGAAAGTCCTGGATGAAACATGGATTATTCCCTGTGATTCCTTGTCACTTACTGGCGATCAGTGGTGAGAGACAGGCTGTAAAGTCCACCTGCAAGGGAGAGAGTAGCTTTTCTTTGTCTGAAACAGAGCCAGGAACAGTATATCACTGTCCATACATATTTAACTCAGAGGAGTGACTCAGAATTTGTCTTGCTGAGGTGTAATTTTGGAAGCTGATGTTTGGAAGTCATTTTTCTTCCTGAGTGTAGCTGCTATCAGAAGGCGACTGGTAGTCCTGTTGTTTTGACTGTATTTTTGCTGCTTGTAGAACAGTTAATTCAGCCCTTTCCTGAAGTCTCCAATAAAGTTTTTATGTTACCATGACACAAACACAGAAATAGAAGCGCTGTTGTCAAAGTGATGTAGCCAAATTATTTCCACCCAGTTGTTCCTGATTCAGTAAGAAAATCTATGAGAATTTTGGTGGTTTTTAAAATGTTTTCACTAAAAGTTTTAATGCTGTTTTTAAGTAGTGAAGAAACAACAGCAAAACAACAGCCAAAGCAACCACAGGCAAATTCACATGAATGAGGTAGAATGAATTGAACAGATAGCACTGAAAATAGATCTGTCCTTCAGCTTCTGCTAGGGGCAAAGGTGAGAAGGAGGAGAGAGTTTTGTAATGAGAGCCACTTCGATACTATTATTTGAAATAGCTGCAAGCAGAAACCATGGATAATAATAATCTCCAAACTGTAGAGGTTGAAAGCGCCGAGAAGCTAAGAATGACTGCAGCTGCCTTGAGTGGTGGTGGAACAAAGCCATGGAGTTGTGAATAGTTTATGCAGATTGAATATAATCAGAGTTGAAATGTGCAGTCATCAGGTTTGAGATCCAAGAAGCAGGTGGTACACGTGTCTATATCAGGATTTTGGAGGGGTTTCCTGGCATGAACCAACTCAAAGAATCACAGGCTAAAGAAACAGTTTTGATATCCACATTTTGATAAAACAAGTGGTCCAGCCCTTTGAACACAAAACTACAGTCTTCTCAAAACATTCAGTGAAGCAAATTGTTTCTGTTTTAAAATAATGCTTTAGAACTCAATGCCACTTTTTTTTCCTGGAAGTGCTAAATAGAAGTTAATGACAGAGAGGAAATAATTTCCAAGTTTTGCAACTGGCAGCCTTTACCAGAGGATTCATGAGCTTTTCAAATACATTTTTATTTAATTTAAATTGTGGCTTATCAAGAACTGGGCAACCAAATGTGTAGAGAATGTGGCCAAGGTGGGCATATTCAGAATGGTGTATGACCTGATTATAGCCTGTAGATCTCTTTAATGTTTTTTTTTTAAAAAAAAAAAAAAATCTGCATTCACCAGTGTTTTTCTTCTGTATTCTTAGCAGAAAATAACCACATAATTATTAATATTTTAATTGCAGCTTCAGTGGTCTCTTAGTGATGGGATTTCTTAATTTCTGTTAAATACTGAAGAAGAAGAAACAGTAACAGTATTGAATAAACACTCTTGTGACTTTTGAGGCATTTAAATATTTTTCCATAGCAAATGAAAAACATTTAAAAAAACAAGTATATTGATTCTGAATCTGAAAGCAGCTCTGTTCCTTCTTGACTAAAGGAACATTTTATTGGTGAGTTAGCAAATTTTGAGTTCACTCTTCTGTTTTCCATTCCTAAGAAATAATTTAATATATGGATAGATAGATAGATAGACAGACAGATAGATAGAAAGATAGGTAGATAGATAGATAGATAGATAGATAGATAGATAGATAGATAGATAGATAGATAGACTGACAGACTTATGTATGGTCCAATGCAGGATCAAGTCTAGTGAGCATCAGCTGTGCGGTTTCCTTTCCATTTCCCCTTTCAGTTGCCAGCTGAAAAAAAAGCTTATCAGATACTGATTCAGTATGAAATTGTGACCCAAGGCACTGATCCATCTTCCTCAAACCTTTTCATTATAAATTCTGTTACTAGAAATTAAAATCTTGGTACACTGTCACTTCAGTCCACTTTCCTACCTGCATATTCATGCTGATCACTAGCTATTCACTGCATGTGTGTGTTTATTAATCACTCTGTAATGCTGCCTTTCTTTTCCATTTTTCACAGTTTAGTTATTCCAGCTGGAAATAAGTAAACCTGCCAAAAGATTAAAGAAATGGCTTCTTCATTATTTATGTAGCGATTGCTTATCACTGGTCAGACAAGTGGATTGGGATTTAGGTGACCACATGTCAGTATCTACAGTTTTGACATCTGTATCTATGATAAGCCTCCCAGGTTCCCTTTCTAGAGACAATGGAGACAAAAATGAATTTTCAGGGTGCACTGTCATCCCAAGCTTCTAAAGCAGATCAGATGATTTGCACCCTAGAAATGCCAGGGTTAGTTGATTGTAAATGGAAATAAGACTAGCTTAGATGTTGGCTTTGTAGATGTCCAAAGGTAGATAATATGAATCCCATCCCTGTGCTCAAATTAATCATAAATGCCCAGAGATTCTGTGCAATGACACTGTTAACGAGAATGTGCTGTGGCTGAGTTTTTTGATGTAACAAAACACAGTGCAGTGATGATCATGTACTGTTCAGCACAAGTACCAAAAGCACTGCAGTCATGTTAGGACCACTTTTCAAATGGATTGGGTTGCCCTGCTTTTCACCTTGACTACGTAGTACCAGGGAATTAGCGTGTTCACATTCTTTCCAACAGATCCATTTGGCAACTGCATTAATACTCTGATTGTAGACATACAGAGATGGTGTTTAATATTTATGTTGGCAGATGAATATAACGTACTTGACCAGATTAGGTCCTGCTATGCAAACCAGCATATATCAGATTGGTATTATTATTACTGTTATTGTTGTTGATAATGATAATAAAAACAACAACCATAATACTATTCACCCATTCTTGTCCAAGCAAGCTCACAAGGAGTTTATAAACATTGAAAAGGGAGGAACCTGAATGGAAGTAGCTTTATTAAGCAGTGACACATGACAAGGGACTTTTGCATTAAAAAGCGTTAGAGAAAGTGACAGATGTTGAATGCTGAAACATTTTTTTAGATTCTGTTAATTTAGGATATTGCCTTAACAGTGATTTTTCCTGTGTGTTTCTCCCCCTTAGGATGATTTCCAGCATGCAGCTTCAGAAACCAACTGGGAGTCAGTCACAAGCTCTGTCTCAGTAAGTAATTTCTCACTGTTTTGCCCATGGATGGATTGATAGGGTGGCTTGAATCCAACTCAATAAAATGGCATCTGCACAGAGAAACAATGTATTCACCTGTGAAAGAGGATGAGTAAAGCTTTTATCCAATTGATACTGGATTCAAACAGTGTTTTTAGGGATGTAAGATTCAGGATACACCTTTAGCTGTTGTAAACACAAGAGACAGCCATTGGGAAACATTTCTTGCTTTCAAACCCATCCTGCCAGTATTCAAGAAAATTCAATATGCAAACTTAAAATTTTTAATCTTGACTTAAATGGAAGCCCATATGTAAAGCAGGCTGACAGGAAAATGGATTTGGCCTTTCATTGTCAATACTGAGAAATTTGTTTTAAGTGTTTCCAATAAAATATTATATCTGAAAATATTATATGCTGAATTACTCCATATTCAGCAGCAAATTGCAACTTGGGAGAAAAATTAAGAAAGAAAAAAAACCTAAGTAATCTAATAGAAAATTTTAATTTTCTTTTCATTACATTTGACTTGTGTCATTGGCAAAAATCAGTCCTCTCTGCCATTTCCAGTGCTGGGGAATGGCATAGTAGCAGGAGAATTCATAATATGGGCACTTCTCTTCTGTGTGCTTTACTTTCTGCTCCGCACCATGTCTCGGTTTTTGTTAACTCCTCTTAAAACACATGAGATGGGGTTAAGTGCTTAAAGCAGACTTGAGACCAATGTCTGAAGCATTCATGGAAGAGAGCTTAGTGATAGCACCTTTGTTACAGTAGCATACAGGAGCAGCTATTGAAGGAGCAATAAATAAAATCTACGTAAATTCTACTGATAAGGGTCCAATCAAGGCAGCAAGTAAAAGAGAAAACTCTGTGCTGCCAAAATTAGATCTTAAGCCAATCTCACTTGTGTTTACTCTTGAATTTGCAAATGACACTTGCCCTTGATCATACGATTCATTGATTGCCTGGAACCAACTGTGCTGAAAGTCTTGAGGAGTGATGTTAGCACGGTTGAGATCTACTGGATGTGCCAAGCAGGAGATGCTAGAACAGTTTCACTAAAAGACACAAATTCATTTTTCATTCTAATGTGTGCTTGGGGAAAAAAAAATAAAAATCAATGTGATGGAATATTTTGTTTAAAAATATGGTAGGCTGATGTTTGAAAAAGTAAGCCTAGGGCTCCCTCATCAGGTAACTGTAAAAGAGACTAAGCCTGTGGTAAATGCCATGTTAGTTCATATCCTTAACATCATAAAATGCACAATATACCAAAGAATAACCCAGTATCCTTTTTATATTGAAAAATCAAGTTCATCTTTTTTCATCTTCTGGGATTTTTTCTGAAAAAAATGTTTTAAATATGTTGCAGCTAAGGAAGTTCAGTACAAATATTACAGGTAGCAAGCTGATGCCCAAGGTCATGGAAACCTACAGCTAAACCAGAAGCAGGACCTCGGTTTCACTGGTTTTCCCATGTCATTCCCTATCTAATAAAATATACTTTCTCCAGCACATTGCACCCGCAAATCCTTTTTATCCTCAGAGAAAATAAGGCAGGGAGATAGAGCAATTTTTCACAAAAGCACCAAGGAAAATATCTGAGGACATCCAAGTTCTTCAGAAGAGAAAGATTCAGGGATTCTGTTATGGTCTTGGGAGGCAGAAGGACAGACTCAGGCCTATCAGTTTTGGACAAGAAGACATACAATCCTGCTGATGCTCAGGTAGTATTGCAGGTCTGAGTTCTCTCAAACCCACAAGTAACCCAGAGGGTCACTTTAGTATATAGACACATTGAAACTCTCAGAATGAAAATTTTAGAGTGAGCAAATTCTTACTTCCATGTCCGAGGTCATATCACAGAGTTATATTTTGGTTTTTTTTTTGGTTTTTTGTTGGTTTTTTTTGGTTTTTTTGGTTTGTTTGTTTGGGTTTCTTTCTCAGAAAGTTAAAAAAAAATGCTTCCACCCTTAAATCATGGCAAACTCAGGGATAAAAAAGGAAACAAAATCCAGCTCCTTATAAGGTTAGTTTCCATTATATATAAAGTAATTTTATGACCAACAAAAAACTGTGGTGCACATTGAATTGCCTGTGAGGCTCACAACAGAGATAGGAAAGTGAAAGGACTGAGTGAACAGAAATTAAGGGCAAGAGCACATACCAAACAAACCAACCTTTGTGTTGCAGTAAATTAAAAATATATTGAGTGCTTATAAGAAGTTCAAAGGAGGTACATAATGTGGAGGATCTTGGCTTCTCATTGCTTCTTACATTTCCTCTTGCCCCATCTTTGGATGTGATCTCAGAGGTCAGATTACGAGGAGCACAAACTCTCCTGAAGCCAGCGCCTCATTCTTGGCAGGACAAAAGAGAGGCAGTTGGGTTGGCAGCTTTGAAGTTGCTTTCGGGCCTGTCACATGATGTTGCTGCCAGGAGGCTATCTCAGCTGTTGAAATAATTCCTCTTGATTTGGCTGTCACTGAGAAAAAAGTTAAGCTTTCTTCTGTGTTTGAACGAGGCTGCACAAATCTCTTGAGTAAGAGCTTTTATATGAAAAGAAAATGGGGAATCCCAACTGCCTGTATGAGTTTGAAATGCTCTGCATATTCACAGCTCGACCTCCACTTCTGTCATGAAATGTACAGTTGAACATGTGGGGAAAAAACCTCCTGCACTGAGTAAGCCTGATTTTTATGCTCCTGTTTCTTCAGCATCCTTGGACCTTCTCTTACTTTTGACAGGCAGTCAGGGTTTGATCTTTCCCTACTGGACTGCCATGAGCTCCACCAAGCTCTCCTCAGTAAGAAAGTAGCATATGCAAGAAAAAGTCAAAAATTGTTAGTTTTGTGATACAGCTTACCATTAAAGACAAGTGTTTTATTTTAAAAGATTTTATTTTAAAATATATATACTTTAAAACCCTTATAGGGGAAATTAAAGGACACAGTCTTGCAAACAAATGAGTGAATTTACTCAAATGAGTAGACCCTCCCATTATGGACCCAACTGAGTGAGGTTAATCACAAAGATTAATAGTTTAATATATGCATTTACTTGGGAGATGAGGCAAAACAAATATTTTGAGAAGCCATTAATTTTAACTGGCATATTTCTGCGGCATTACTTCAGAGCTGAATTTTCATGAAAGAATTTAGGTTTCTAGGGGTTTCTCCCTGATGTTTCAACTTACAAGACCAAAGAATTTGTGTGCTATACTGTGCCTGTGGTTGGAAAAAATTGATTGTGGTCCATCAGAAAGTAAAAGATCTGCATGAATAGGTTTTTTGTACATATTTTACATGCTATTTGTCCTTGTGCTTGGATAAAGGAAAAGGTAATATCAGTATAGTGAATATTGTGATTCTAAATTAAGAATTTTAAAAACGTTTCAAGTCCTCTCCAGTAAAATTGAAAATGCTGCAGTCATTCTTTTGAAGTCAAATTGTGCCAGAAGTTCATTGGGAACACTCAGAAAATGGTACTTGGTCCTTACTGGTGGAAAATAAACATTCCATTTGGTGTTACGATACAATTGTGAGGATATTACTATGTTGGTGATCCAAATATTCATTGTTACAGTGCTGAGATCATGGAATTGTAGAATGGCTTGGGTTGGAAGGTTCTTTAGAGATCACCTAGTTTCAATCCCCTTGTAGTGGGCAGGGATGCTTTTCATAGGATCAGGCTGCTCACAGCCCTCTCCAACCTGACTGTGAACACTCAGGGATGGGGCATCCACAGTCTCTTTCAGCAACCTGTTCCAGTGTCTCACCACCTTCACAGTAAATCTCAAATCTAATCCAGACCTATTCTCCTTCATTTTAAAGCTGTTCCACCTTGTCTTATCTACCTGCTCTTGTAAAAAGTTTCTCTTCATCTTTCTTGTAGGCTGTCTTCAGGCACTGAAAGGCCACAGTTAGGAAACCCCAATGCCTTTTCTTCTCTAGGCTGAACAATTCCAATTCTCCTAGTCTTTCCTCAGTCCTTCTAATCATTTTGGTGTCCTTCCTCTGGACTGGCCCCAGCAGGTCCATGTGCTCCCTGTGCTGGGACCCCAGAGGCCCTGCTGCCCACGCTGCTCTGGATGCAGCCCAGGACACCTTTGGCTTTCTGGGCTGGGAGTGCACACTGACAGCTCATGGCCAGCCTCTCACCCACCAGCACCACCAAGACCCACATACCATGTTTTTTCTGTTTGTTTAGTCAGCTGTATTTTTGGTGAAAGGTCAGTTCAATGTCAATTTATCAGTGTTTTGTAATACATTTAATTTTGGTTAGCAAAGGGCCATTTTTCCAAGTCTCTAACTATGCCAAATTTGTTGCCCAAATTGACCAGAGAAAAACAGTCTAGCAGACTTTCTGCATTTGACTTTCTCTGCTGTGGTTTCTGATCTGCCTCATGTGAAATAACCAACAGAACTGGCATCTCCATTTCTGTGGCCATGGCCATCATAGTGCTTTCAAAAGACATTTTCATTACATCTTTGTATATGTTCAAACCATCATTCCCTTTGAGGAGTGCATGTAAACACTGACAGTCCACCAGTGGCAACATTTTTGGTCCCTGCATCTCCTCTGGGATTTGCTTGGGAGTTTCTTGGTATCTCTTCTCCTTACAAAAAGAAAACACAGGTGTAAGAAAGTCTTGGCCCAAGGACTTGAAAAGATGGCCCAAAGTAACTGTTTGACTCAATAATGAAACAAGTGTGTCAGTAATTGTTTTTGGTTGTTTAAAGTGGTGCTGTAATTTATTCCAAGTGCACTGAGATGTATGTCACTCTTAGGGGGTATCCTATCCCTCTCCATCAGTGACTGACCCTACGCTCACGGCAGAAGCACTGGATCAGACCATTGCCGCATTTGACACGGTGGAGGATCTGCTCAAACACTTTAACCCGGACTCCTGGCAAGAAGATCTTGAGAACCTGTACACAGACAGTGGGCATCATTACCGAGGCAGGAGCTACCATGACAGGAAGTCCAAAGGTAGGAAAAGACTTTGGGACATACACATACTTTGGGACAAGGGCAAGGTACCACCTATTAAAACCAGGGATGTGTCGTTTAATCCTTAATCGATTTCTAGGTAGGATCTCACTTGAGAAATCAGACTGAAAGCTTCCCTTTTTTAAGATAAATTCACAAATAAAAACACAGATCCACATATAAAGACAGATGGTTCTCAGCTTTACCCTCTTAAGCATTTCTTTGTGTGTAAAGCGTGGGGCTCCTAATTACCTGTGTTATCATCCTTCTTTAAATACCCTGCTTAGGGACTGTTCTCTGTTGAGTGAGGAATAATCACTTTTATCACATTGTGCTTAGGGAAGCATCTGGTGCAGACACCTGTATGTGCAGCTGTTTTTTTAGGATGTGAACATCTCACTGTTTTTCACTATGTTGGCAGGGAACATTGTTGTGGTTTAACATCTTTGTCTGTAATTGAGCAAAGCACACATTTCTGGGTTAAGTTTCTTGTTTCCTTCTGTTAGTTCAAATCATCCACCAAATGGTAAAGCAAAGGGGAGTTTAACTGGCAGTACAAAGCCATAAGGATAAAGAAACTCTATTGAGAAGACACAGTTGTGCTCTGGGGCAACCATGCACTGAAGGGCCTGATGAAATTGCCCTTCATGAGCAGTATAGACGTAGGAGGTCTGTTAGGATTCTCCATCCCTGTAGTTTTCACAGAAGATCTGGAGTGAAGAATTTTATTTGATTCCTCTTGTTGTAATCTATTTTCAAGTTGTGTATTCACATGCATTCTTCTTTATAACTTTAAAATTATAATTCCCAAATCACAGTTCCAATCCTGTGTAATCTACCATTTATTTACATTTCAGATCCCACCCCCATACATTAAGCAGGGAGGGAGGGAGAATTGTAGTTCAGTGTTTGTAACATACTTGTTATCAAATTATGAGGCTTTGGTTTTAAAAGTGATGTATAGACTGCATTAGTGTTAGGGAAAACTGTGTCAAGAAGTGTTCCCAGGCCCCAAAAATACAGTCACCATATTGCTGTTGCTGCGCATGAACCAGGATCTGGCAGAGGCCACCTGCCATTCATGTGTCTTAGCTTGGAGAGTAAGAGATGAATGGTAGGAATGTGGGCTGTCCTGTGGCTCTTCTCCTTGGAGTAGGAGGATAATCTCATTATTAACTGTATTAGGAGACACAGTACTGGTGTACAATTTCCAAGACAGGTTGGCTTTCTTTGTTTCTGGGCTCAGCACTTCAAAGGAATCTGTGATAAAGCCCTGAGCACCCATTCAGCAAAAAGTAAACTGCTTTACTCCCTCTTGGCACCTCAAAAATTTCAGGTAACCACCACAGCTGTTGCTGGGGAAAAATTTCACCAAAGTGTTACTGCATGACTTTCAAGAGTGCTTTGATCCTTATGGGGGTGTGTGGAACATGATCTGTTGTGTCCCTTATTCATCCAAGCTGGATTTGGCACCAGTAGATATGTATAAAAAAGAAATGAAGGGTCTGCTCTGCATTTAATAGAAGCTGATTAGAATCCTGGATCCTGTACTGATTCTATTCTCCAAAAATCATTTCATTCTCAGATCATATTTGGCCCACTATCCCTTATATTTAAATAACCACATAAATATAAAATAGCATTTGATGCTCTATTGATGATAATTATGCAGGCTACAGATTGACCTGTATATATATACCTGTACAGGTATCAGATTGACCTGGTAGTGCTCAGAAAATTCAGATGCATAACACTTTTTCCATTTATTATAAATACAATTCAGCTTCTTGTGTAGCAAGAAACTAAACAGATTTCCAGTTACAATTTTAATACTTGATTTTTTTTGAATAGGATTTTTTTGTTGGTAGTGGTTTGGTTACAGGAAAAAAAAAAAATGAAGTTTAAAAACAATTTTCCTTTTGTTTTCAAACTAAAGGCCAAATTCCCTGACTGTTAGCAGCTCTCTGGGCTGAGGTACCTCACCATAATGAAATCTTTTTAAACTTTCAGTTAAGAATTTTTATTTAGTTATAAACTTCTGACAAGATTAAAGGCTTGTTCTTGGAGGATGTGAGGAGTAAGAAATAGCTTTAACAAATCCTTAAATTGGAAATGCTTGGTGGCTTTTAAACACAGACAGTGTGGATCTCTGAGGAATGTTTATAGGCACTGGGGTAACCTTGCAGCAAAGAGAGCAGTAGATTATATCATAATTTATTTCAGATACCTATCTGTTTCGGCTTACAGCTTGAGCTTTATTTTTTTATCCAAAGTTAGAATAGCCCTGAGGCAGGTAGGAACAATTTGATGTAATCTCTGCCTATCTTTCACAGCATTTTCAGATCACGTCATATAAATGGCATAAATTAATCACTAATAATTTCACTCCTATCCAACCTTCTGCACATACCAAACTCTGGTACAAATGAGCTAAAAGAGGCAGTGTTGCTGAATACTAATTCTGATAGCAGGGATAGGTGATAAATTATATTTAAATGGTGTGTTTTCTTAATTTGCCTGTTAATAATCTACAAATATCAAGATCAGGCAAATAAGAAGACAGTATGTTATCACAGATGAAACTCACAGAATCAGGGAATAGATGAAGTGGGAAGACACCTCAAGAAGTTAAATGCCCCTCCTCAAGGCAGGGTCATCAATAGAAGGTTGCCCATGACCATGTCAAGTCAGTGTTTTAATATCTCCAAAAATGGAGGCTGCTCAGTCTCTCTGGAACCACTCTCTGAGCAAAGATAAACAAACAATAAGTAGTTTCCAACATTTAAATATTTTCCTAATGAGTTTCCTTCTTTATATGTTTTCCTGTGTTAAAATTTGAGTCCAGAGCCTTTTGTTCTTTCAAAGTACACTCCAGCTCCATCTTTGCTTCCTCCCACCATTGCTTTGTTGATGGACCAAAGCAAACTGTATGAGGTTCAACAAGGCCAAGTGCTGGGTCCTGCCCCTGGGTCACAGCAACCCCAGGCAGTGCCACAGGCTGGGAGCTGTGGCTAGGAAGATGCCCAGTTAAGAAAGGACCTGGGGGTGCTGGACAACAGCAGCTGAACATGATGCAGGGTGTGCCCAGGTGGCCAAGAAGGCCGATGGCATCCTGGCCTGGATCAGCAGTGGTGTGGCCAGCAGGAGCAGGGCAGTGACCGTCCCCCTGGACTCGGCACTGCTGAGGCCACACCTCAAATGCTGTGCTCAGTTCTGGGCCCCTCAGTGCAAGAAAGACATTGAGGGGCTGGAGCGTGTCCAGAGAAGGGCAGCGGAGCTGGGGAAGGCTCTGGGGCACAAGTGCTGTGGGGAGCAGCTGAGGGAGCTGGGGGTGTTTAGGCTGGAGAAAAGGAGCCTCAGGGGGGACCTCATCACTCTCTGGAACTGCCTGAAAGGAGGGTGCAGCCAGCTGGGGTCGGCCTCTTCTGCCAGGGAACAAGTGACAGGACAAGAGGAGATGATCTCAGGTTGCACCTGGGAAGATTTAGATTGGATATTGGGGAAAATAATTTCACAGAAAGGGTTGTCAGGCACTGGAATGGACTGCCCAGAGAAAGTGGTGAGTCACCATCCCAGGAAATGTTCAAAAAGTGTGTGGATGTGGATGTGGCATGTGGGAATATAATTTAAAGATTATTATGGCAGTGCTGGATTTCTGATTGTATTTTTGATGTCTGAAGGTCTTTTACAGGCCTAAAGAATCTATGATTTTTTGTATTTGTATACATTAATATATGCATATACAGATCAGTTCCTTCCTGGATATGTCTTGCAAGTACCTGAAAGTCGAAGAGTGTGTGGATTAAATCTGTATTTATGGTAACTCCATTCAGTCTACAAAATCTGATCTCACACCTCTACAATACTGATGCAATTCTTTTGAGTTAAGTGCATTTTTTTCTGTTGAAATCAAAATTGCATTTCTGTTGAAATTTCTATTGCATTTCTTGCTATTGAAGTGAGATACTGGTATGAAATGTGTCTCACTAACTAGCACATGAAGTTTGATGTATGTTCAGCAAGGTTTGCTGTTAACCATTCCAGTGAAAGGTGACTGTAAAATCCCAGAGCAGTCCAGACTGGCATAACAGGACAGAAAAGAGAGGGAGAAGACACATAAAGATTTTCACAATTCTGGAATGAGAGGCCTCGTATAAGCTATAAACTGTGGTGTACACCTACATGAAAACATGATAGACATTTCAAATAACCTCTGCAGTTGTAAATATTAAGGTTTGCTACCAATTGCTGCATTTTAGAAACTCTGAAAGTACAAATATTCAGCTTTATGTTCATCCTAGCCTCTTAAAAAAAAATAATATCATACCAAAGTATATACTTTAAAATAATTCCTTTTACATTGCTGTAATTTATTGCTGACCTGAGTGACATAGTAATTTGGTTATTACATATACATATATATACATATACATATATTATATTGCATGTGTCCAAAAAGGTATAACTGGCTATTGGGTTATTTAATACTGTTCATGGCTAGAACACAGGTAAAGAAGTAAAGATCCATGCTTCACAATTATGATGATCTTCTTCACAAACAGGTTTCTATTTTTCTGGAGAGTCATAAGGAGAGTTCAGACATGTTTCAAGGAAGCTTTTTCATCCTAGTTTAAGTTTCTGAAAGCATGAATTTATCTGGTTAATAGTATTAGAAGAGCATCTAATACCATTGTAAACAATCATCAGCGACAATCGAGCCATCAATTAAACATTATTTAACTTTTCCCACATACTTGTTTTCAATTATGTTTTGCTGTTGTCTCTGATTTTTTACCTCCCATTGAATAAGGTTTTTAAATTCCAAAAAGACCTCCAGCTGTGAAATGGCTTATGTACAAATGAAGAAAGAAAGGAAAAGGGACAAGTTCACTGTTCCTCATCATAGAAGTAAATCCAAATGTCATGGGGCTGATACCCAAAGAAAGGAGTTGTCTTTAGGAAGGAATAGAGTGTTCTGTTTTGTTTTCCCATAAATAAAC